TTGGGGGGCTCCAAAATCACTGCAGATGGTTACTGCAGTCATGAAATTAAAAGACCTTTGTTCCTTAGAAACAAGCTTTTCCTTGGAAAAAGTTATGACCAACTTAGCATATTAAAAAGCAGAAACATTATTTTTCCAACAAAGGTCCGTCTAGTCAGAGCTATGGTTTTTCCAGTAGTCACGTATGGATGTGAGAGCTGGGCCATAAAGAAAGCTGAGCACTAAAGAATTGATGCTTTTGAACTCAAGTGTCAAGAAGATGCTTGAGAGTCCCTTAGACTGTAAGGAGATCAAACCAGTCAATCCTAAAGGAAATCAGTCCTGGGTGTTCATTGGAAGGACTGATGCTGAGGCTGAAACTCCAATACTTTGTCCACCTGATGCAAAGAACTGACTCATTGGAAATGACTCTGAGGCTGGGAAAGAATGAAGGCAGCAGGAGAAGGTGACAGAGGATGAGATGGTTGGATGGCATCACCGACTCAATGGACATGTGTTTGAGCAAGCTCTGGGAATAGGTGATGGATAGGGAAAGGATGCAGGGCGTGCTACAGTCCATGGGGTTGCAAAAACTCAGAGACGACTAAGCGACTGAACTGAACTGAACTGAATTTAGCTATGTAGTTGTGTCAAACTCTTTTGTGAACCCATGGACTGTAGTTAGCCAGGCTTCTCTGTCCATGGGATTTCCCAAGCAAGAATACTGGAGTGGGTTGCCATTTCCTCCTTCAGGGGGTCTTTCAGACCCAGGATCCATCCCGTGTCTCCAGCATTGCAGGAGGATTGTTTACCCCTGAGATGCCTGGCATCTTTAGTGAGTTCCTAAAAATTGATGTGTCCTGATTTTTCCATCTGCAAAACTGGGAGAATAACAGTATCTAACCTTTATTTTCCCTTCATGCTTGATGGTAGTTCCACTAAGTATAACTTTCTAGGTTGAACACGTGTCTTTATTTTGGAGACATTTCCCCCATGGTTTTCTGGTATTGTCGATGAGTAATCTCATGGTGTTCTAATTTTCTTGCCTTGACTGTAATATTTTCTATTAGCACCCTGTAACCTTAAAAATTTAGACTCCTCTGTTTATCTTTGGAGTTAAAATGTATTTCATTATTTTGACTATTGTTTTGATGTTTCCCTTTGAGTAACATCATAAATCTCAGCTTTAGCAGTGAGTGTAACAGAGTACTCATGTAAAATACAAGCACTGTCCGTCTGGTTAGTACTCATGTCTAGTTTATTCACCACTGCACACCCAGCAAGCTGTAGAGCATAGCTGGCATTCAGTAAATATTTGTTGAATGAAAGACTGATCTTTCTTGTAACTCAAAACGTAAAGTGTGAAAGTGTTAGTCTCTCAGTAGTGTCCGACTTTTTGTGATCCCATGAACTGGAGCAGGTCAGGAGTCTGTGGAATTCTCCAGGTAACAGTATTGGAGTGGACAGCCAATCCATTCTCCAGGAGATCTCCCGACCCAACCTCCCGAGATGCAGGTGGATTCTTCACCATCTCAGCCATCAGGGAAGCTTCTGATGGCTCGACGGTGTCTCTAATTCAAAAAAGATTCAATAATATGAAAAGTAGTTTTATAGTTCAGTTCATTGCAAGATATTTAATAATAATGCACAAGAATTCAAGGAGTTTACTGAGCTTGACTTTAACTAGAATAAATAATTCTAGACTTACTGTGATTCTGAGAATATCTGTTATGTCATTTCAGTTAAAAATTTAGGTGACATTACTTTGCACAAATTTTCTCTCTTGGTCTTGAAACAAGTTCGAAAGGTAGATGTCATTTCTGCTTTTCACAAATGAGGACTCTGCCTCAAAGATTTGCCTGAAATCACCCTAGTGGGAAGGGGTGTAGCTGAAACTATAAGTTATATCTAATGATCAGGTCCACGGTTCTCAGTCGGTAGCATGCATATATGTGAATTAATCTCCAGAGGTCTGTGGCAGTCTTTTCACCATATTTTAGTAATGTCTCAAGAGCCAAATTTTTTTCCAGTTTTCCACCCTGCTTTGCTTCCTCTTGTTTGGGACCCCACCATCATTATTATTTTCTTAGATAAATCTTAATCACCTGTATATAAATATAAAACACCAGGCTTGTCTCTTTCATTTTTAAATGAAAAATCAGACATTTCCTTTTGTTGCTTTACCAACAATGTGTCTCATAGTACATAATGGGATAAAAGGGAAGAAGAGTATACCTAAAAGACTCTATAAACGTGGGATTTAGTAATTATGCATTTGCATTTTAGCATCAAAATCATTTTGTCTCTCATTTCTTCTTTGAATATTTAATTATTCTAGAACATCATTAGTCATTGTGTCTGTAAGTTTGCACCCACATTTTATTAGAGAATGAAGCCAAAAATCTAAGTGTCTAAAGAAAAACCATGTATTATCATCTCCACAAAATATATTACTAAAATTATTTGAAAATAATATATTTTGAAAGCAATTATACTTGAATATTGTCATTTAGGCACATGACTGCTATACTGTAGGATTATTGATTTAATGAATTGTTTCTAAAAATAAAGATTAGTTCCCTTCCTTGAGCTCTGTCAGAATATCACTTCTTAGTGAAAGCTCACTGTAACTTAGTTCAGAACAGCCAACATCTCACACCACTGCTTCAACTCTTTTCCAAAGTCTGATCAAAATGAGATTGTTTTCAACACTACAAATGAGACAGCTCAAGCTTGAGAAATTTTAACCAACTTGCCAAGATGCCATGGAGCCTCACTGAGAATGAAACACAGAAACTGTGACTTCAGGTTTTAGCTACAACAACAGGATAGGTTTTCATAGCTCAGCAATATAAAAATCAGTAAAACGTCTCTTCTCTATACTCTGGGTGAAAACTAATGAGGAAACAAGCTACTGTCTCTGATGAGATACGAAAAAATCATGACTTCCAATTTGGTAAATTCCAAAATAGGTGACTTTGAAGATTTAATTTAGAAACTGGCATCAGACATCAAAATTCTTAGAAAGAACCATCTGTGGTTAGTTTTAGGAAGGTCTCTCACAAAAGGAGAAATGAAGAAGAAAATATGAATATAAGTGGTTTGTACATGTCTACATCAATTAGCTTCAACTAAATATTAAAAGGATGAAAAGTTCATCACAACTGTAGCTACTTTGAAAAGTGAATACATGCATTCTCATCATTGAGACCCTAAGAGCTAATTACAACAGCAACATATATCTTTATTTTTTTTTACTATGTATTTATTCACTTGCCAGAAAAATTCATATTCTTTTTGGTACTATGATAAAACAATTCATCTACTTAAGCTGTTAACACATTTATCTGTCTCTCACTTATCCATAATGGCAAAAAAAAAGTACATGATACCCCCATTAAAATTTCCCTCTTGAACACTACTAAGAAAAGCCAATGACACAACTACTGAGTTATTTTGTTTCACTTCAAACCTTGAACATATTGTATATGAAAACTTGAAGAAATCATAAATGATCTACTGCTTTCCTCCATTTCCTAAATGAAGAAACTGTGCTCAGAGAGATTAAGGACTCTTGACACATAGAATCATGTCTCCAGTCTGCCAGAGTCCATCTCTGTCTACACCACCACAAAACCCTAATTCTGAGCAGCTTGACAGAGAGTTCTGGAGCCTTGATAATGCAAATATCCTCAAGAAGAAAATGTATTATTTAAAACCAAACATCTCTTTAGAAAGACAGCATGCCCTGTAGTAAGCAGCCTGTCTACTAGGCTGCAAAAGGAGCTTGCACTCAGAGTGATGAGGGGCATACAGGTTGCTATTCCAGAAAACCAGCAGGAAATCTGTTTTTACTTATGAGGACACAGATGCGTTTGCAATATTATGAAGATGCAGGAAAGCAGTGATACACGGCCTACCAAGATATATTTCATAATTTTATAATATATTCAAAGAAATAAACCATTATGTCACACTTAAGTATAAGAAGTTAATTACGTAGTATGTTTGTACCCATACAGAACATTTAAGTTTCTGAGGGAAAAGGGTAAATAAACTAAAACTGTAATATTAAAAAACAGTGTCAAACATGTTCTGGCAAGACTCATATTACTTAGCATACATTATTCTCTATTTTTGGAGAGAAAATACAGTTGTCCTATAGGCTAGTAGTGGCAAAAAATTCACTCTAGCTATATGCTAAAAATAATCATAATCATAATACATTTTAGCAATGATGCAAGTAGTTGTAAAGGCATGTTTCCATCTCTATAGTGATCGCGTTTTACTCGAGTTCTAAACACTGTCCCCCATCTCGCTCATCCCTTTTTGTCATGCATACTGTATGACAAATGCATACTGTATGACATGCATACACACACGCATCCAGGACATTCACATCAACATAACACTTTCATTTACTTGTACACAGCCAATTAAAATAAAAATCATTCAAAACTGACTCAATAAATTATACACAATTAATTTCTAACAAATATAACAGACTTGCAACCCTGATGGATTTTTAAGCCATATCTATCATCCTCCTTGACTAAAACTTTGCTTATTTTTTTTTGAATAGCAAAAAAGAAGGGATAAGGGAAAAAGCAATATTAGTGTATAGAAAAGCTTCATACATACCATGCTGTGTAACAAGTTTCGAAAATAACTTTGTCTTTAAAATGCAGAATTATTCAGAAAGTTCAACAGTGACATTCATTCACTAAATGCAGTTACAAAATCATTTCTACTCCCCTCCCTACTTCCAGCAACTGAGTCTTTACTAGTTTCCACTGTGCTTCAAGTCACAACCAACTGAGCTAATTTCGGTGCTTCACACATAGGCTCGTTTCATACTATCAGAAAATGAGTAGATCTAATAAAAAAATAAACTGATGGAAAATTATCCCAAATGTGACCGGGGAAATGCAAATTATTTAACCCAGCATGATTTCTAAAGAGAAATGAGGAGGGAGTGGGTAGATAGCAAAGAATAGTTGGAAGTCCTTGAATTTACTCACCAGTTTCCCAGATGCACGGTCAGCAACAGGAACATCAACCTCACGCCTCTCCTCTGATTCCACAGCAGAAAAGGGGAGAAGAGAAGAGCTTTCCAAGAACCCATGGGGATCGCTTTTCTTCTCAGTTCTCCAGCCAGGACTTTTCCTCCCACCTCAGCTGCAGACTGGTGAGTGCAGAAAGGAGAAGGTGGGGAGGCTGTACCCCTCGCGACCAGGTAGGATGCGGCTCCCGGCGGAATTCAGCAAAGCGAGCCAATCAGACCGAGAGGATGCTGGTAAAAATTAGCTGGAAAAAAGTTGGGCCAATCAACAGCCCTAGGAGGCGGAGCTTCCCCTACTAGAAACCGAGCCCAGTAGGGAAAAGGGCTCTTTTCTTCCTAAAAGAAAAACAAACCTCTTCTCCCTGGCAGCCTCAGAGAAACAGTTGAGTGGCTCTGACAGATTTCCCTCCCTAGGGAAAGGCGGCTTCCCTCTTTTCCCCTAGCCTTCCCTCCGGACCGCCTCCGTTTCGGGAGTCTCCTTCCTCGTCCGCGTTTGGATTCTGAATCTGCCTTCCAAGAGGGATCCGTGGGGAGCTTTGCCATGCCTAATTGGTTTCCCCCAGGCTCGCGAAGGCTCTGCTAATGTTGGTCATTACTGTTGTGACTCTGAGAGGAGCGGTGTCTTATTTCCTTGCAGACCCAGCACTTGGCATAGTGCCCCACACAAATATGTTCTCGGGAGATGTTGAAATATGTAGCTGCATGAGTGAATGAGCCAGCTGCGTGCATTCCTGGTCGCCACGTTTCCTACCCACCCCCTTTCCGTTGCCGTTACAAGTGAGAGGATTTGCAGTCTCCCCGCTCTGGGCGCCAAACACACTAATGAACAATGCCAGGCAAGAACGATCTCATTGTACAAAATCATAAACAAAACTCCGGCCTTAGAGCGATTATGTCAGTCCTGGGGGCTGTAGATCGACCGCATGTGTGACCCTTGCTCCCCGCTTTGCGTCTGCGGGGCTCCAGTGCGTGGTACCTAACTTCAGAGGCTCTGCTTGGAGTTTGCAGCGGAGCCCAACAGTTGCCATGGCAACTAGAAAGCCTCTGGCAGCCTGAGCATCAGTACAGGCTGGCGGCGGCGGCGGTGGAAGCAGGCCCGCTCTGCCCAGCCATCTTCCTCCCCTGCGCCCTCCTGGATCGCTGCTTCCCCCCAGACACGTGGGGCTGGGGCCTTTGGCTGTGTCCTTAATCATCTCACAACTACCTGGAACTGACCCGATTCAGGGGTGAACCGCAATTTACCATGGGGTCACCTTAGAGTATTTGTCTCCCCAGCGAGCAGTTCAAGGTAGAAGTAACAATGTTTGTGCACGAGTCGCTGTTGCTACCCCAGCTTCTGAAATCACTTAAAGGAACTGGATGGGTAACAAGGCTACAGATATTTTCTTGCCCAGAATAACAGATGGTGAAATACAAGGGCTTTTCTCCTCTCTCTTTGGTTCTCCATCTCTTTAGTCTTCTCTGAAAATAGGTGTTGACTTCCTTAGTTTTCTTCTGCTACCCAATTACTAAGCATTATTCTCTTTCATCAAAGCACGTTAATCAAGGTAGCTCACACTAAATAATTTGAATAACAATAAAGTTTCATTATAATAAATTTTGAAATGAATTGAATTTAGTTAAAAGTTGATTTCAATATGAATGTGGGTAGTAGTTGTTGTTTTTCTGGCCAATTAAGAATGCACTTTCCACAGCTGTTTAACTGCTTCATTGGGTGCACACACTCATTCACTTCTCTGGTTAGCCAGTGAACTTAGGAATGAATTTATTTGAAGTATGTGGTGAAAAACAAATACTTGTCTAGGTACTCTTTGCATTTTTCAAAGCTTAGGTAAGTTTTCTGCATAAAATCAATATGATATCGAGTTGACAATATGATATTGCATTTATTTATACAACAGTCGTTGAAAGTTCTCCCATCAAAAATTTTACTCCTATTGTTCTAATGAATAACTGAAAGATGCTCAGGGCCATTACAAAAAATTAATGGAGAGGAGAGGTGAAGGTATATCCTTAGGCTACTATACCTTGTTTATTGTTGTAAAAGATAAAGGACTGGAGTAATTTCCAAACTGGGAAATTTTCTGTATTTTCTGAAATACACATTTTTGCCAATTCAAGGCTGAAACATTTCAAATGTATTTAAATCCTTTCTTTCAAACAATGTCATGTGACTTTTTATTTCTATGTCTCTTCCTTTGATTTTTCTTTTTCTTTTTGTAACATTTGTCTTCTGGGAAATGGATCCTATTCTGCTGTCATAGTTAATTATATTTCCCTGTAAACTATGTTAGAGGGATCTGTGCCCTCCAGAACTTGATTTTGTATATCAGCCATGTCTTGACCCTGACAGTCTGTCTCATTTGATTTACTGAATCAGTTGTGTGTGTGGATGTGTGTGTGTGTGCGGTGGGAGTGGGGGATGACACGCAGTGTGAGCTCTGAAAAAAGCCAAGAAGGAAAACGGTGCTCATCAAACCAACCATAGCGTGTCTTAGAGGAGCCTTGTGGAGAAACAGATTAGGTGTTTTACACAAATCTAAATTAGAAGGCCAGAGCTGCTATAGGGAAGAGTCTAGAAAAAACTCTCTGTCTTCCGTTAAGGCCACGGTTCCCAAACCCGGGCAGTTTCACCTCATAAGACATGTATCAGTGTCTGGAGACATCTTCAGTTGTCACAGCTTGGAGGGCGGAATGAGTTACTGGCCTCGAGTGAGCAGAGTCCAGAGTTGCTACTACACATTGTAAAATGCAAAAGAGAGCCATCCCACAGCAAAGAATTATTGCATTCAAATTGTCAATAGGACCAAAGATGAGAAGCCCTGCGTTATATATAAAACTAGAAAGAGTAGACTGATTTCCTTGCAGCTGATGATTTCCTGATACTATCATTGAAATCATCATGCCCCTTCTCCTTCCTTTGATGTGCATGTTAAGTCGCTTTAGTCAAGGCCGACTTTTTGCGACCATATAGACTGCAGCCCACCAGCTTCCTCTGTCCATGGGATTCTCCAGGCAAGAATACTGGAGTGGGCTGCCAGGCCCTCCTCCAGGGGATCTTCCCAACTCAGGGATCGAACCTGTTCCTTGTGGAGAAACAGATTAGGTGTTTTACACAAATCTAAATTAGAAGGCCAGAGCTGCTATAGGGAAGAGTCTAGAAAAAACTCTCTGTCTTCCATTAAGGCCACAGTTCCCAAACCCAGGCAGTTTCACCTCGTAAGACATGTATCAGTGTCTGGAGACATCTTCAGTTGTCACAGCTTGGAGGGCGGAATGAGTTACTGGCCTCAAGTGAGCAGAGTCCAGAGTTGCTACTACACATTGTAAAATGCAAAAGAGAGCCATCCCACAGCCAAGAATTATTGCATTCAAATTGTCAGTAGTACCAAAGATGAGAAGCCCTGCATTATATATAAAACTAGAAAGAGTAGACTGATTTCCTTGCAGCTGATGAGTTCCTGATATTATCATTGAAATCATCATACCCCTTCTCCTTCCTTTGATGTGCATGTTAAGTTGCTTTAGTCAAGGCCGACTTTTTGCGACCCGATGGACTGCAGCCCACCAGCCTCCTCTGTCCATGGGAGTCTCCAGGCAAGAATACTGGAGTGGGCTGCCAGGCCCTCCTACAGGGGCTTTTCCCAACCCGGGGACCCAACCTGTGTCTCTTAGGTCTCCTACATTGGCAGGCAAACTGTTTACCACTGGTGCCACCTGGGAAGCCCTCCTTTCGACTAGCTGAGCTATAACCATTATTCATCAATCTCATATCTAGTTGTAATGACTATAGACTGATATTTCACAGCAATTTTTTCAAAATGTAACCAAATATTAGAATAAAATCAATGTTTGAACATTAGAATAAAATGTTTGGAGTATCTACTTAAAATGCAAAGACATGGGTTTCTACCCAGACCAAATGAATTAGAATGTTTAGCAAAAATCTCTGGAGCTTCTCATGTGTCAAAATGTTTGAAAAACATAATCTGATAATCGTCACACAAAATGACTAGTGAGATAGTGGCCTGATTATGAATATGCAATTCTGGCCCTAGGAAAGCTAGATTTCCACATGATTCACCTGTCTGTTGTTAATATGTTCATTGAAATATTTGTGAATAAATTTGGATGTCAGACAATGTATCTGATGTTAAGAATACTGTAGTGAATAAGACTTACCACTTCTTGCCTTGCTTTCTTCATCTATCAAAAGGTGATAAGACTTTTTAGTCTATTGAGTTGTTTTAAAGATCAAATGGATGAACACAGGGGATTGCTTTGAACAGTATGTGGATAATAGAGATTACTCAAAAAATGTTACTTGTCACTGTCGTTTACTTGTTGAGAGTGGATTTCAAATGTAACTTGTTCACTGCAGCCATCGGTATGGAATCTGGCACAAAGCAGTGTTCCTAGAATCCGCAGCCTTGCAGAGACCACGGAGAGGCTCAGGAGAACTCTGGTGCTTTCATCCTACCCTCAACATCTCAGGAGAACTCTGGTGCTCTCATCCTACCCTCAACATTGTCCTGAAAACGAAGACGATCGGACCCGTGTTCTAGTCCTGACCACACTGCTCTTCTGACGGCCACAAACTCTGCAGTTAAAACTGTGATTGTAGCCTCCTGAACTTATCATTCAGTATCGTAATTTTGTGTTTGTTTTGTCCTGTCATATGCTGTTCCTTCAGCTTATGGGGCCTTCCTTCTTCATCTGCCTGGTCTCTGGTTACTCTTCGTGAATGTTTCAGGGTCATTTTTCTCCAGGGAGTCTTTACTGATTGTTCACTACTTACTAGTCTGAGGTACAGTTCTGTCATCCAATAATAGTTAATGTTTATTGAGTGTTTGCGGTGTCACCAGGCATTATTCCTAATGGTTCTGCATTATAGCTGTATATAATACTCTCGCAACGTAAAGTAACCATTTCCTATTTGTATCACAGAACATAACACATTTTTTTAAATGTGTTAAAGCTATCTGTATTCTACCCAAATTATTAATTCTGTGTTTTTAGATTTTACATATAAAAGATTTATAGTACTTCCTAGACCTGTTATTATATTATATATATATTTAATATTATTATAGTTTATCTATGTTTAATATCATATGTACATTTTATCAGTACTTTTCTCTCCCTAGAATTTAATTCCACAAAGTCAAAGATTTCATTTGTATTCATCACTCACTCCTTTTGTCCAAAGCAATGGCTAGTAAGTAGTAGGTGCTTGACAGATATCTGTAGAATGAAAATAAGTGTTCAGAGAGTAAATAAACACATGCGTGGCTTTAATCCTTCTATAAAGTTCTGGAACCATTAAGGGATCTCTTCCAAGGGCATAGGTTCCAAGTGCCCATCTCTAATTAGGCAAAATCCAGACCTTGTTGCTTGACTTATTCCTTCTTATCACAGCATGGGAATTAATTATTTTTCTTATTTACATATTGCCATGATAAAAATGAACAAATGCAGGCATTTTAATTTATGCAATAAGATTATTATTTAAATCAAACAGAAGAGAGGGCCAGCATACAGAAATTTCACAAAAGTGAAAGCACACACCCTTTCTTTGTCAGTCTGTTCAATCTCCTTAATCCTGTACCTGGCCTCTAAAGTACAGCCCAGAGAGGGAGTTCTGATCATTGGTGGCAGGTAGCCATGGATTTAAAGCTTCTAAATTCATCCCAAT